TAAATGGTAGTTCTAAACATGATCACGAAATGGAAGAATGTGACACAGAAATGGGTCTGCAGTGATATTTCTTACATTTTTATTAAGTGATGGCAACAAGGTTATGTTTTTACTTGCAATGCTTCCCAACTTGAAAATTAGGGCTATTAGCTCAAATTTTAAATTTGTTTGTTTGTTTGTTTTGCTGTTATGAGATGTAAATCTTCTAGCCCCTGGTTCAGGTGGTCCAATGTCAGTGTGAGAACAGGGGAAGTCGGTAGCTCATGGATATCAAAACAAGCATGAATTCCCAAGGAAGTACCTTTGGGAAGACACACCTGATGGTGTAGCACGCCCGGGGTAGGCTGGGCAGGTGTCTGTTCCCTCTTCCCCTAGTCCTCTTATCATTTGTGGTTCTCATGGCATCTTTGCACTCAACAGTAAGAGCAGAAGTTCCAGATCACTTATTGAAGAAGGCAAAGTGCTAATATTAAATGCTCGAGAAAAGAGCTGTATTTGGCAACAGAGATGTTTTTTTTTAAAAAAAAAAAAAAAAAAAAAAATCCACCAAAAAGCCACAGTTTTATGTAGCTGTGGTCTAAAAATTAGCTTTGTTTTACTTAACCTGCTTTATAGTGTCATACCTGTTGACGTTAGTGACAAATGAGTATTTAAACACCCTCTGATTGCCAGCACACCATAAAAAGATGCTGTTTGCTCTGTCAGTTACGGTGCTAAGTGTCCCTGTCCAGTAAAGGCAGGCAGATCACGTCAGTGCACGCAGGCTGGAGCGCAGACAGTGCTGTTTATTGCTGGCTGTGTCTGAAGGAGCGGAGGAATCCGGCCCAGCCATTTCTGCAGTTGCAGAACAATCTGCTCAAGCAATTGATTTAATCAGGCATCAATTAATTAGGGAGCTTAAATGAAATGTGAAACGTGGGACGTGGCTGGTAACCCGCGAGGATGCGGCAGGACTTAACTGGTTCCTGGGCGCGCGCTGCTGCTGAGCGTGCGGCTTCGCTGGCAAATACGGGGTAACTCTTGGAAAGCAAATCCAGTTCCCTTACAGCCCTGGAGGGGGGAGACACAAATGGCCAGACTTTCTCTGTGTTACACTCTCAAACTGGATAATATCAAGGCCTCATTTCTGTGACAGGAAAGCCAAAACACTTCTTTACTCTCTCGCAGCCTTTTCCGCAGAGGCTCGCTGTGGCAGACACAGAGCAGCTGTGCGGGGCGCAGAGTTGTCTCTGGGTTTTTTTTAAATGTAGTTCTCTTCTGCCTTTGGAAAGTGATGTCCTAGTTTGGGCTGCAGCTAGCAGCAAACACCTCTGCTTGACGACTTGTGGGTGCTTCACCTTTGTAAAAAAAGAAATACGGCTCCTCAGCCTACATTGTTTACTCTGCACAGTTTGTGTGGTGGTTTTTTTGGTGTTTTTTTGCTTTTTGAAATATTTATATATTCTCCTTGTTTCTGTGTATGTCTTGTTAAGCAGGCAGATTTTTTTTCCAGAGGTGATATGCTTGCATCTGAGGAGGGGGGGGAATAAAAAAAAAGTAATGTGGCCACTTATAAATCATAATTTGAAATAGCGGTCAAAATACTTCACTAGATAGCAATGTGCAAACCCGAAAGAAGAATGCTTTTGTAATTAAAGCGTACAGCAGTATTCTGATTCAACACTTGATTCTGTTGATGAAAAAAGGCAAGGAGTGGATAAATGCCTCTCTTTTTTTACAGATTGCTTTAATTGTAAATTTAAAAAAGGCAGAACTCTCAGAGAAGCTAAGGGTTGATTCACTATTCATAAACTGCATTAATATCTCCTAACATCACTGGGACTGGGGAATATTGTAGCAAACAGTAAAGAAACCCATTGTAGCTTTCTGCTTGGTTACAAAAGAAGCGTGAAATGTCCAAATTACCAAGCTGGTATATTCTACAAGGTGTGTGAACTGTCCGAGTGATCATTTTGTAGCAACACCCATTGTGGCTGTTGGGGAAGTTGAGGGGTTTTCACCCTCCGTTAGCGGTTCGGGATTTGGCAGGTCTTTAGAAGCACAGTGCCAAAGAATTGAAAAGGCAGAACTCTGTGGACTTCTATTGTTGTCATTACTGATTTTAAACGCAATCTTAGGGTAAAATTTGGTTCACAGCCTAGCTAGCAAAATTAACCATTGCAAACCAAACAGCATGTGTAGCTGGCCTTTGCTGTTAATCCATTAATTCTCTTAATGTTTATCAACGAGCAGCTGAGCAGTGCTCAGTACAGGAGAGCATTACAGGGAGGTCTCTGGCTCCATGCGCTCTCTCTCTGAGAAGGCAGTTGTCTTTTGAGCGAAATCAGTGCAGATTCTCTAGATCCACGGGCGGATATTGTCAGCGCTATTAGTGGTGATGATGACGCTGTCGTTTTTGCAGAAGTAGATTCAAGTCAGTTAAGACGTCAGCTGTGTGGGGGCAGCCAAGCGGCCATTGAAAGGATGATCCATTTTGGAAGAGAATTGCAAGCGATGAGCGAGCAACTAAGAAGAGAATGTGGCAAAAACACAGTGAATAAGAAAATGCTCAAGGTATGTTTAATCTTGGAATTGTGGTGGTGAGTAACTGTGCTGCCCAGCAGCAGCTTTCCAGAGCGTGCGGCCCTGCGATGCTGTTCTGCTTTAATTTCTGCAATTTTGGTTTAATTTTTTTGGTCCGAGAGCAGCATTCTAGTCAGCAGTGGTGTAGCAGTGTCTCCCGTTGTCTGCATAGCACATTAACAGGGAAGATAATTTATTTCATGCTGTAATACGGTTAAAACCAGAGATGAATTTAGCACTTCCCTCTGTCTCATTTCCGACGACGTAGCTTGGCCTCTTGAATCAAAGTGCTGTTTCTGGCTCTGCTGATAAATGAACCGCAAGAAAGAGGATTGATAGGGATGCCCAAACAGCGCTCGCCTTAGCACTTGGTGCGTTAATTAGTTTACCTTGATTTGTGACTGCTCTGGAAAAGAATTCCCCTGCCGGATGGAGACTGCCTGCGTGCAGTTTTCAGTCTGTTTTCTCTTACTCAAATACTTGTTAGAATACCGCTAACTTTTACCTTTCTGTCAGGAGAAACACTGCTTGCTCAAAATGGAACAAGTCCTGTTACAATTCCTTATCCTTCCGTACTGACAGAGGACTCTGGTAATCACCTTTGTGACTCTGAATCACAGAGGGTGAAGAAAATAGTTCTCGTTTTCACTAGTAGAACAGAGCTGGGGGATGTAACAGGAATCCTCTTTCCCCAGGATGCGTTCAGTTTACTCGCGTACTCGGATCCCTGGAGCAGCCCTGTTGGAAATCAGCTCGACCCGATACAAAGAGAACCCGTGTGCTCTGTACTGAATAGTGCAATACTAGGTAAGCGGGGGCCGGCGGCTTTCCCGCGGGTTCGGGGTGCTGCCCGGCTGCGTGCCGGGGGGCGGCAGGGCTCTGGTGAGAGGGGGGGGGGGGGTTTGGGGGGGTCTGTTAACGTAACAGGTGTCAGCGTCGTCGTTCAAAGCAGAAATGGGTTCGTTCAGTAGCGGTGCTGCGCAGGGAGTTGGAAAACTTGGCTGCTCCTGCCGTGTTCTTGCTGTAAGAGCAAACTGCAGGTAAACACGGGAATTTCTGAAAGGAATGAGCTGGGCTGGCTTCAAATTGGAAGTTTTCCGTGCGTTGCTCTGACATCAGTCAGGTGCTTTAAGTGCCCCCCGGGATTCTTTTTCAGAGACTCACAATCTGCCAAAGCAACCACCGCTCGCCCTGGCCATGGGACAGGCGTCGCAGTGTCTAGGACTGATGGCTCGGTCGGGCATCGGCTCCTGCGCGTTCGCCACAGTGGAGGATTACCTACACTAGCTATGCACCCGAGGGCTGAGAGGTGGCATGGCATACTCAACGGGGGAAGTAGACCAGCTCTGCTGACTGGAATTTGGGATTTTAATTATGTACTAAGGACAAGTCTGTCGCTTTATGTTGCTTCCTAGTTTACAGCATGATGCAAATGATTTCTAACTTAGTGTTAGGAGAAGAATTTCCATCTCTAAACCTCTTAGACAACTAAGAGTTGAAAGTATCACTGATAATGTCAGACATCCAAATTGACAAGTACCAATCCTTTAACCGATTGTCCAAAACAAACCAAAAATCCTGCTGCCTTGTGGGACGGGAGAAAACTATGGCTGCATTAGCGCGTGGGTGATGTAAACGTGGAGCAGGATGACTTGCCAACCTCCACCCCCATTGTTACATAGTTCAATCAGTGTAATTTGCAAAATGCATAAACACCTGATGGTTTGGATATATAGTGTTGATGGGAAGAAATGATATTTTTTAATGTGTACTGTAAAACTTGAATTACTCAGGAGCTGAGTGAATATGTTTGTTGCTACTTACAATCCCAACCTGTTGATCTTAGTAGTTTTTTTTGTTTTAACATGGTCTTTTCAACTTTGTTTCCTTGTTTAACTACAGACAGCTTCTGTTGTGTAGACTCACCAGTTTAACTGTTGTATTATAACAGTATTACATGTCAACAGTGTGGTTATGACCTATTTATATAAAAACCAAATATTTAGTCAATTTACAGTCTTAATTTAATCTTTGTACACCTTGCATTTTTAAAAGTGCTTAAATAGTACTATATTGCAATAAAATGTAGTGATATCATAATTAACCAGCCATTAAAAACTTACTTCTACATACGTGGTAGCATGGACTCGTATGCTACGGTGTCTTGGGTGGAGTGCCCCACCCTCGAGCAGCACGCGGCGGCCGGGTCCCTGCCACGGCGCGAGCTGGGCATGGCCAAGGCCCTGCCAGAAGCTGCCTCAGTGCTCCCTGAAGACGGATGGAAAAAAAAACCCCAAAACCTTATTCCTTGAGAATAATCATTGGGCTGGACAGAAGCGTCCTGCTGCGGGAGCTGACTGAGGGATCCTGACAGTAGGATACAGCCCCTCAGGTAACTGAAAAAACGAGAATAATAACCGATCCTCCAGAACATTAAGTACAAGACCATTTGTTTTTTATTCTCTGTGAAGGAGCTGCCTCATGGAGGCAGCTGGACAAGCCCGTTGGTGCTGCCCCTGCTCTACAGCAGCCGCTTCCACTGGGGCAGGGGAGGGAAGAGGGAGGCTGGTCCGGGCCCGGCCGGGAGAGGGTTGGTGCCTGCCGGGGGCTGCTGGCTGGAGCTGGAAGTGGAGGAATGATGAAGGTGGGGGAAAAACACCTTGGTTGTGGCGAGAGACTTTTAGTAGAAGTCCTTAAGAACATCATCTGAAAAAGCTGTCTTCATACTCAATTTTTAATGTGTGTTGAGAGCCACCGCTTCTTAAACCTTGCTGCTTTTTGCTTTTTTTCTTGCCCTTAAAAAAAAAAAAAAAAAAGGCAAGCTGTTAGTTACCACTTTCTTTGCCCATGTACTGGAGAAGCAGCAATCCAGCCATTCCTGCAGCAGTTCAGAACACAACTGACTGAAAAGCTGATAAACTTCCCATCCTGTTTTACATAAAACTGCGGCTTCCACTGGCCAGGGGCGCCCACTTGCACCCCCGCCTTCAGGAGCCGGGGGTCCAGCCCTGCTGCCACTGCTGCAGCACAGCTGCAGAGCCAGCTGCCCGCCGAGGGTCAGTTGCTTTTGGCTGTGCTGGTGTGACTGAAACGGATGTGTGTACCAGTCTGTCCCCAGTCATTTCTAAAATGTCATTTTTAAATGAGAAATAAGCACCACTTCCCTGTGCTCACACAGAAGTTCTGGGATCTCGGCATCCCTATGTTAATTTTTACACATCTGGGAAATAACTTCCACCAGCTCAGAGGTTCTAGGCTGAAACAACACTCAGTAATTTATTTCAACAAGTGAACATGGCTCCGGGCTCATACACTGTTGTTTAATGTACCAAAAGGTAGGGTCATTTTTTCATGTTGTCTCACACAGTGTCCCCAGTGGAATGCTCACTCCCCCACCAGGCTGCAGCATGCTGCTGCCCCTCCCCTTACTATCAGGTTCTCTGAGTTAGAAGGCAGCAAGATCCAGCCCTCTAACACAGGAAAGCCTTTTTTTCTTTTTAAAAAGTGTACTTCACAGATACATAGAGTTGTACCTACTTTGACTTTTTATACTCACCCCAAGATTTGTCCACAAACTGAACTGCAGCTTTTTTAACCAGGTTTTTCTTGTTTTCAAGGGAAAAAAATTCATTTGCTGAAATGGAGAGAGGAGCGTCAATTACTAAGTTTAACCCCGACCAGTCCAGGTGCAGGCCCACCTCAGGGAACCGGCTTACCCTGTGCCCGGTTGGCGTGCGGCCCGTAGAGATGAGCGTTTAAAAAGTCTTTGGCAAGCTGCTGGTGGAGGCCTGCTAAACTCTGATCTTTTAAGCACACAGCTGTATAGTTTCCTTTTGACCTACTTAAAGAGAGATGTAAATCCCTGTAGCGCAGTTACAGAACCAGAACAGCCGCCACACCAGTCACTGCTTTGCTGCTTGAGCACAACAGCGGCCGGTGCCGGTTTCTGATGCTCAGCAAGCTTTGTAGCAGTATTAAAATAAAAAATTAGACCGAGACTCTCCATCTGTTATCCTGTACCCTGAGTGGTTCCTTGGGAGCCTTGAACTAGTGCTACCAGGAGCTAGTGCAATTCCTCTGCAGGGACAGCAGCCACAATGAAACAAAAGGGGGTGGGGAAATACAAAGACAGAAATGCAGGAATTCAGTGCTCAAGAACCAGAGCTGCAGCATGTCAGCATGTCTGCTGCTGTGCTTACGACTGTCTGGTTATCTCATAGCAGTTATAGAGATATGTCTATACTTAAGAATTATTTACATGATGGATTTTTAAATATAGGGGTGTATGCGTGTGTAGATATAGATATATATTTTACAAGTATGTTGTATCACAAGCAAATAAAGGTACTCATAGCACAGAACTACGCTTTCAGTCGGAGGGAGAGTGGGGAGCACAAAGGGAAGGAGACCCAACTCCTCTGCTCCCAGCGTACCTGGCACCTTTCTGCTTGTCCATCTTCACCGGCCTTTGGGCTTGGCCTTGCCTTTGGCCTCGGCCTCGTCTCTGCTTCGTAGCCCCACCGCCACGGCGTTTCCCTTAAGTCAAATTAATAGAAAACCAAAACCAACTTCCCAAGTAAGAAAAAGGAACATGAATGAGACAACAATGTGGTGGTGAAAGATGTCTTTAGGTAACTCCAACAGGCATTTTCCAGCAGCTCTGACTAGTGAGAGCTGGAAGGTGCTGCCCCCCAGGAGGGCCGTGGGGGGAAGGGAAGCAGCACCCTGCGGGGGAGCCACCCCGGGCGCTGCTAGCCGGCTTTCCCCTTCCGTGGCATCAACAGCACAACACGGGCCTTGGCGTGGGACAAAAATTCAGTGCAGCGCAACAGCCACGAGTAACGCGCAAAGGGGAGCCCAGCCTCAGCTGCCTGCTCGCCACTAAATAAGTACCATGGAGGCTGAGTATTCAGGGGCTCATTGCTTGTTTATGACAGCATCTTTTTTTAAAACACTACTGGAAGGAAGAAAAAGTAGCAGTTACACCAGCCAGCTCTGTAATTATGTGAGGTACGGATGAGAGGATTGTTTAAAAAAAACAAACGCACACTTTTTTTTTTTTAAAGTTCTTTGAAGTATAGCTGTCTGAAAACCAGCAGTTATGACTACTCTAGACTCTGGATTGCCTAGTTCAGAATTTGAAAAAAAAAGTCACTTATCTAGGAACAGCCTTAAACAAATGCTAAATATTAAGCACCCTTTCATAATCCTTGCTTTTTCTGTCATAACACCTACCCCTTATTTCCTTAAGCACCTTGGGCTGTTTTAACTGAAATCACCGTATACCAAACACCTTTTGTAAAAGGTGCAGGAATGGGTTTAAATGCGATTTTTAGATTATTTTTTGTTTTTTTTTTTTTCCCCTCAGCACCAGACCCTCTGTCCGGCCTGTTCCCGTTTCAGCCTTTCCCGAGGTCTCTGTGCCAGGGGGCTACCGCCCAAACCCTGAAGCAATCACCCCTGAGGGAGGGGGGGGGGGGAGAGCAGCGCGCCAGCTCAGCGAGCTGCTGCCTACCTCGGGGAGCCGCCGCAGCCTGCCCTCCGCGCCTGGGGAGCAAGAAGGCGACAGGTTACTCTTCCGACCGACACACGCAGCCCCCTTCCCCATCCCCAGAGTCGTTTACTCAGGGCCACCAAGGCTCCCGTCTCCCCTCCTCACCCTGCGGGCGGCGCGGCCGCCAGCTCCTGCAGCACGGCCTGGGGGAGCAGCTTCCGCTTCTGCGGGGGGAGAACGGCGGTTACCGGGGGGGGGGGGGGGTGCGGGGAGGGCGGGGGGGGTGCGGGTGCCGCCGTACCTTCTGCTCCGCGAACAGCTCCTGCCGCCGCCGCCGCTTCTCCTTCAGCAGCTCCCGGTGCCTGCGGAGGGGGGGGAGGCGCCGTCAGGTCGGGGTTGCTGAGGGGTTTCGGGGTGTGAGATGGAGGGGTGGGGGGTGTGTCCGTACCGCCGGGCCGCCTCCCCCACCAGCTTCCGTTCGCTCTCGGCCGCCTCCCTCGCCGCGCCGAAGGGCACCTCCTCGGGGGCTTCCGCCGCCTCAGCCTCCGAGCAGGGCGGCCCGCGCTCGCCGCCGCGCGCCGCCTGCTGCCGCCCCGCCATGGCCGCCCCGCCCCGCCCCGCCCGGCCGCCCCGGAACCACTTCCCCCCCTCCAACCGCCCCGACGGCTTCCGGCCGCCCCGCGCAGGCGCAGACAGACGAGGCCGGGCCGGGCGGAGCTGCCGGCGGGGTCCCCCCCCGCCCCTTTATTGCCGTGGGGAGCAGCGGAGGGGCCAGGCCCGCCGCCTCCCCGCACCCCCCCGCGTCCCCCCCCCCCGCGCTCAGGCGATGATCTCCGTCTGGTGGCGAGCCAGCGCCGGCGGCAGGGTGGTCCCGCAGGGGCCCGGGAAGTGGAACCTGGAAGGAAGCAGCCGGGTGAAGGGGCGTGTAACTACCCCACGCAGGTAACTAACTACCCACCCCACGCAGGTAACTAACTACCCACCCCACGCAGGTCACTACTTGGGCCCGCTGCTGAGGGACGGTGGCGGGGTTGGGCCTCCCAGGCTTCACACTGTGCAACACACAGTTGCGGCTTCAGCGTCAGCTCATTCCATCACAATATTTGTAATAATAATCCATAATAATAACATTTCTTAAGCATTGAGGAAAAAACTAAATTATCCTCGTTTAAAAAAAAAAAAAAACAAAACTCTTCAAAGCGTTTTAGCAGTTCAGTGCAATAGGTGACGAAGACAGAGGGGGCTAAAGGGTGCTGCTTTAAAACTCAACAGCTTTACCTGAATCTGTTGGTAGCAGGAGTAGCTTCCATGTTAAATTCTGCTACTGGCACTCCTCTGGCGGATACCTGAGGGGCAAACATAGCAGCGGGGTACACCACGGAGGAGGTCCCGACCTGCAGGGACAGGATGGAAAAAAAAAAAAAAAAAAAAAAAAAGTCACAAGTGGGACAGGCCAGTAGGTAAACAGACAAAACCAAACCAACCCACGTGCCCGGACTCTCCTCACAACACTGGTTGTGCTAAACCACTCGAGGTTGGAAGGTCCCTACAGAAATGAAACCAAATCAGTATCTCACAGTGGCACCGCATACACACACAGCTGTTTAACACAGCGTAAGAGTCAGGAATTGTTTCTCAACCCAAAGAAGCCTGTTTGTGGATTATAACTAGATGAAAAAAAAAAAAAAAACAACAACTTCCAGAAACACAAAATGGCAGGCTTTGCCTTCAGGAAAACAAAACACAACGTTCCCTCTGTTACTTGGGATTATTCTGTAAGGGCACGCAATATTCTGAGACTGGATTTTTTTTTTTTTTTTTTTTTTTGGTCAGCAGTCTGGAACCTGCATGGCATGTAAACAACCTCACAAAAAAAGCAGCACATGATAACAGCTAGTTACCTTCTTACAGTAATTTGCCACTTTTTTTTTCTGTTTTAAACTCAGCATCAAAATAATCATATTTTTCACTGTTTGAGAAATTCAACAGCTGAACAATATTAGCTAACCTCTAACACCTGGGGACACTCTGCCAACTGCAGACGCCAGCTGAGCAAGATGCACACGTGCTGAATCTGTTCACTTCTAAGTAGTATATGTACATTTTCAAACTTCATGGCCTTTTAATGTTTTACACTTGACCCTAGAGAGTCCCTCAGGGGTTTCCAGTTCCCTCAGGGAAGTACAGCTGCATCTGCTTTACCCAGGGGGTGCAGCCTCTTCCGAGTGGCTTCCCTGTAACAAAAGCGACACTCACTACCAAGCAGAGGTCGCAAATATCAAGCTCCTTCTCAACCTCCGTGAGAATGTCAGGATCCAGGGTTTCCCCAAACCACACGACGTGGGGACGGAGGAGCCCGTTGCAGCCGTCCTCCTCGCACCTGTTCAAGAACCACAAAGGGGCAGCCGTTAATGCTGCTGGCGCGGACCTTTCAAGCTGCAGAACAGCAAGGCAGTTTGCATTCGCGTTTGGGCACATCTTGCCTGCCCTCACTCTTTCTCCCTTCTCTTCCCACACCCGCCGCTGCCACGCGCTGGACAGAAGGCAGCTGAGGCCGCGCTGCACGTGTGTTGGAAGTGCACACGTGCTGCCTGCTCATGGAAGAGGGCGCTGACCGTTTGTTCAACTCTGATACTTAATCGTGTCTTCCCCTTACTCAGCTCCTGAAATGCATGAAACTTAAAACGTAGTATGTGCTGCAGACCTCGGCCTCCATCAACTTTAACAAACCAGCCAACGGGTTTTAAGGAGACAGCGAGCTGAAGGACAGAAGCACAGCGCTGGCCTCTCTTCCTGAGGAACCAGATGAAAAATACGGTGGCACCTGCAGCCAGCTAAAGCAAAGCTTCGGCCATTATAGAAAAGCACCGTGGCACATTTAGTGCCTGCAGAGGCTGCACCCCAGCACAGCGTTCCAGACCAACTAACACTAGGTAGCACCTGCAAAGTAATGTTTACTGTGTAGCACGTCGTTCCTTGCTGCAATTCTGCTACTACACTTAATACAAACCCCATGAATTTAGGCGTGTTTCAGCTTGATGCTCAAGGACACACACGCGATGCCTTTAGCACCACAGCAAGCTTCCAGTACACACTCCTGTTGTCTGCTGTCCCCTGTAACGTCAGGCTCAGTTCTCTGGGGCAAAGTCCCACACTTTGTTCTCCTGTCAAACGTCTCCATATCTTTACAAAAGTACGTGAACAGTAATATAAGCCTTTGAAATGCACAAAGCGTGAAGAGGTAACAGCAAAACCCAGAGTGGTCCATACGTACTGAGGAAGGGCTTCAACTGGAATCGTGGCGTCTTCTGTTTCAGGATCTGGAGCCCTGAAGTTACAAAATTGAAATGCATACTCGGTTGTACAAAATGCACTTTATATATTAATAATAACTTAGTGTTCTCTAAAGCACACTCTCCAACCAAGGAGTCTTTGCAACTTTGGCCAACTTCATCACTTACTACAACCTTAAAATACCACGCAGAGGGCAGGCAGGCATTTGTCCAGAATTATCCTAGAGCTAAGCAACTGCAATAAGCTGGACAAAGTCTGTCAAAGGCACAGATATTTATGTAGCTATCTGAAGATCTGGTGAAATTCAAAGGGAAAAAACCCCTAAAAATCTATGACCTGTCCTGACCCCCTGCCCCCCCTTTTTTTTTAGATGGTGAAAGAAAGAGGATGGCTAGAAAAAGGAGACTGAAGGATTCTTCTGCAACTTTCTATGTTGCAGAAATCCTGGGAACTGATGCTTCCCTCCTGATTGTTTCACACATCTGTACTTTGAGACCTGTGATCATGGGAATCTTATTGATGAGCTGAAGGACAAAAGCTACAAGGTGCTGAAGTGATACAGAAGAGGGCAATCCACGTATCAAGTGATGACAGCCCAATTTAAGGAATAAGCATCCAATTTAAAAAACCTAGGAGATGAAGAGGATGGAGTAAACACCCATTCTCAGAGTACAATTAGTTGATGTCCAACATAAGAGTTTCAGACCATCTGAAATTGTTCTAATTAAAATACATATAATGTTGAGCTAACTTAGAGGTTAACAGTTACTCATTCACAGAACTTATGGTATCATAGCCTCTCACTGAAGCTACCAAACAGTATACTCATGTTTCAAAAGAGTTGTGTAAAATTTAAGCGTTGATGCTACTAAAGGAAAATGGGGTGGTTGGCTGAAACTCCTGTATGCTCCTAAAATGGCTCCTTTTCTACTGAACAGCAAACAAAGTAGAAAAGGGAGAGAGTTTACACGGCAGACGTATTACCCTTTCCCGGCCAACGCGGGGCATATTGGACTCTTGTAATTTGCAGCTACGTTTCCACAGTTAGTGCATCGAGTTTTAAATAAACTACCTGAAACACACAAACAGAAAACATCGGAGATCAAGTGATTGCTCTGAGGCATGGCTGGACAATTAAATGATTGTGTTTATACCAGACGGCCTTTATTTGACCTTGAAGACTATACCTTGTGGGTAACTTACGACCTGAATGTAATAGCCAAGTGTTGAAACCTGCAGTATTAGGAGCGAGATGCTGTTTACCCAGCGCGTACACACGCCTCTGTTCAGCACCCCGAAGTGACCAGCATCACAGTTAAGCACAGACTGGGCCCAGCAAAGACGGACACAGCCCCTTCAGCTGAAAGGCCACAGCGACCCACAGCAGCAGTCCCTCCCTCTAAGCTATGGTTTATCGCCTTGTTCTACCTCACAACATGAGTAATACACAGCCTCCTAGCAGTATTTCAGAGGAAAATCATTATTTAAAACATCACCGAGGGAGATGATTTCTGCTTACTGCTTTTCCCCTTAAATCAGGAACATTTACTTAAGAAAAAAAAAAAATACACTGTGGTTAACACTGTTTTGTTTTATGCAAAACTCCCCAACCCTGAGACTTTTGCGGCATTAGTAACATGCTGTAGAAATGTGCAATGTTACCAAGTTTAAAATTGTTGCTATTTTGTAAAGAATAAGGATAATTAAAAATGAAACTACACCCAAAGCTTTATTCTTGGATTCACAAATGCAAAAAAATTTGTGCAGGTTTCCTGTGTTCAGATCACAGAGCAGTGGTGGGAAGTCCCATTTCAAGCTTTTGTGATACTTCAGTTAAAAAGCATCACGGTGCTGGAGGACCAGGATGGGACTTTGTCCTGGGAGGCTTTGGCTCTGCATCAGGGCCTGCGGAGTGCAGAAGGGAGGTGTGGGGGCACGTCCAAGGATGGAGAAGGGCTTCCCCACCCTCCTTCTCCCCACACCCGCGTACGTGCTCAGCTCCAAAAGCCGCGCTGGCCCCCGGGCCCTGCACCTGCGTTGCGCTCCTCTGGCGCTTTGCGGGAGGGGGCGGCAGCGAGGAATGCTGCTGAGTGCAGGGAGCAGAGAGGGAGAGCGAGGGGAAAGGTGCGGGAATCCTGTCCACTTCCAGCCCCTTCTTCCTCCCGTAGCCAAGGGGAGGAAGGCGGGTGTGTGAAGGGAAGGACAGAGGGACAGCAGGGCGGGTGAGAGCAGTCTTGCCAATACACCTTTTACCGGTGGCAATACCGGTGTGGCACCACCGTTACCACGCGGTGGAAGTCTTCGTGGATACTTTTCCCCTTTTCTAAGTGCAATTGGCCGCGTGTCAGCATCCACGTGTATGCAAGTGGATCTGAGGCAAAACTGAGCAAGGGGGAAGGGAGAACCGGTTCCTCTGTACTGTCGGAATCCATTAAAAAAGAAAGATGAGAAATAAGGAGAGGCTATGAAGTACCTGAAGCAACTTCCAAAAGTGAACAGGGCAACATTGTAAATAACTTCATACAAGTTATTCTGAAGACAAATTTATCTTCTCCCAGTACTTATCCAGCTCTCCCTTCCCCTCCCCAAGGTGGCTGGCCTGGAGCAGGCAGGTAAGCTGATTCTTACCGTGAATTTCTAAGAGGTGCTTTGTGCCTGCCTTTCTGTGGAGTTCATCAATATTCTGAGTAATGACCACAACGCTCCTTCCTTGCTTGCTCAGTCGCCTCTCGCACTCTGCAATTGCAACATGCGCAGGGTTCGGATGTTTACTCAACATCACTTCCCGGCGGTAATGGTAAAATTCCCATACGCGAGAAGGGTTTCGTGCAAAAGCCTCTGGAGTAGCCAGCTCCTGGAAAAGACATAACAATTAATTCTACCAACGAAAGGGCAAGCAGATCGCCTCCTCGGATGAAGCCTGCTAGGTGACTGCCATTTACACCACTACCAGCATAACAGGGCAATCAAAAAGCAGATCATCTGTAACCTGATGCAGTTGACAAGAATGTAGCTCAGCCACCTTTATGAGGATGCCAAGTCAAAATATCTTATCAAATGAGGAAATAACTGATACAAATAGTGTGGGGTACATGGTTTTACTTTGTGCACTCAGACCTTATTCTGTGCTGCCCTACCAAACTGTTAGGAGTTCAGCACCGCACAGAGGAAGATGAGATATTTCAGTGAAAGTGATTTTTGGTTTTCAAAACTCTCACAGCAGCCACAAAACTCAGCATCGTGTGGATATATTTTCTTTGCTAGCAATTTCTTTTGGGCCTCAATTTAAGTGTAACCCAAGCCAAATTTCAGCCGTTGTCAAAACCAAAGTCTAATGTGTTGTCTTTTATGTGCTGGTAAAATCTAAGCTATTCTTTTCACACTAACTTTAATTTTGCCTTATTTTTTAAAAATGAGGAGTAGCTCAGTGTAATGCTTCAGTGCACAATTCTACTGATATAAAAATGCCGAATGCAAGCCTTCTGATGCAGAAGGATCAGGCATTTATCCACACGCATGCTTTATTTGAAACAAAAAAATGCCTCTTTAGATTCAAACTCTCCTGAAAAGCTCATCTCTCTGACCCTTTTATAACTTCATCAGGTCTTTCATAAATGCTGTCATTAAAGCCCACAAAGAAAGCAAACGTGATTGCAGTGCTTGGGCTAGCAGTTACTGACACTGTAACGGTTACTTGAAACACCTGCAGCACCACGCAGGATCAGACTCGTGAGGCACCTACTCATCTCCCACGTTTCCGTGCTTGCCCCTGTACCCCTGCCCCCGCCAGCCTCTGCTTCCACCTCCTCTCCCACCCCAGTGCCTCCCAGCGCTGGCAGGATCACACCAGCAAGAGAGACAGAGCTTGTGGGAGAGTTCAAGAATGCGAGGAACCCTGCCCTCAAACAAACAAAGAAACAAATCCTTAAAGAGGCACGTCCACCCCCCGGCAGCCAACTCCCGAGCCGCCAGCGCTTGTCACCGGGACCTACCTGGGCTTGCCACTTTCTCCAGAAACCTCCAGCCCCTCTGAAGGTAGGCACTCCACTCTCCGCACTAACACCGGCTCCCGTGATAATGGCTATGTGCTTCGCTTTGGCAAACACTTCTCGAAAATCAGCCATATCTGTGCGTGGGGAGGAAACACAAACAGCTGTTCAAACATTTGTATTTTTACATAAGAGGCCATACAGACAGTGCTGGCAAACTAATGCATCCAGAAACGGCTTCCACATACACCTCCCATGACTTTGATTTCAGAACACTGATATTGTTTCTGGATATTGGAATTCAAAGGGCAAGTCCCAGAGATCCTCAAAAATGCATATGAGCAAGCTCAGTAGGGCAGCACATACTATACTGCAAATAGACTCCATATTTGAAAGACAAAACCTTACACTAACACCCCACACTAGATGCTACCTCAACAACAATTGTTGCCACCACCTCTTGCTTCCTAACTTCAAGGTAAAATCCTGGAATGATGGAAAAAAAAAAAAGTTTAGTCACAAAGTATCACCTTCAAAATTAAGGTAATTTGGGAAAACACATTTAATTCTGAGGCATCTTCTCCATTTTCTAGGTTTGCAATTGTATTTTCTATTTTTGAATGTATATTCCCTCCATTCTTCCCTGCATGGTAAAGTAACTTGGAAAAAAGATGGGAAATTTCCTTTGCATTTTTCTAAGAGTCAGCTGAACTCTGAGCTGCTGATCACAACCCTAGGCTTCACAGTTTATTACGTGGCTGTTTTGTTTTGTTTTTAAACCAAAGGCAGGTAAGTTTTTATAAGGAGAGATAGTCACCGGAGAAGTCTCAAGACCCACAGCACAAGAGCTGTAGAACTGGGCTGAGAACATGATGACTCTGATGCTCCATCTGCTGTTGCAAACCAAACCTCACAAGCCCTTAAATGTGTAAAGATCAGGCCAAAAGTCCTCCTAGTCTGGTCTCCAGTCTCAGACAGTAGCCAAACAGCGATGCTCAAGATGGCAGAAAAAGCCAGTGCACCTTGGCTACCCATCTGTTGGGGGTTTTGCTATTATACCTGTGAAGCTCCGTGCACAGTTTTGAAATTAAAGCACGGCCTCAAAATAAAAAAACAATCCCAGAAAAAAAAACCCAAGCAAACAAAAAAGAGGATATTTACCACTACCAGACTGAACAGGGCTCCTGGAGTTACCCAATGCCCTGCTCCTGAGTTGTTACCAATGCTGGAGGCCCTCCATAATTCTTACATAAAGAAATGAAGAGTGAGTTTTATTACCCACTGGGATTATGAAAAGGAAATGCAATTAACCACCGCACATTTATGTGCATAAATTATAAATGCTAAAAACATGTCACCAGGCAATCATGCTGACTGCAGCTACATGAGAGGGTTTGGAACTAGACAGAACACAGACATAGAAGATAAATTTTAGCAGCTGGGGAAAAAAAAATCGACTTCTCTGCTAAACATTTTGAATTAAACTATAGATTTTGCCTATTGCACAAAACCTGCTAGAATTTAAAACCTAGCTTAAAAACATGTGGAGTGCACTAAAGGAAACAAATAGATGTCTTACTTGAACTAGGACGAGCCATTTCCAAGCGAAACTTCTCTGTCTTTGAAGAAGCAGCCTTAAGTCCACAATATGCCTGGGAAACCAGCCTTCTAGCGGTAAATTGGAAGAGACTCATCAGCATCCCTCGGAAGTGCTTCACTGAGAAGATATAAATGAAACGCAAGCGGCTCGTTTAGGGATCCTATTTCTGCAGGCTCCCTGTCAGGAATTCTCCATAAAGAACCAGGTACATTCGTGGTTTTCTCCTGCGCCTTCAACCTCCCCCTCCGCGCTGCAAAACGCGGACATCTCAAATCTGAGCCACACATATCCCCTCCAAAACGGGATGACCGCTTTTGTTTCCACTGAGGATTCAACGAGATTAATTCTGCTCAAAGACCGCCTGGCCCCGAAGTGCACTGGCTCGCGGACGAAAACGCGGATTTTGCCTAATGTTTAACTCACGCGAGCGCTCGCTTAAACCCAAGCAAGCGGCCCCCTCCCCTCAGGACGCGACCGTCAGATCTGGCAGGAGGAAAGCAACCCCCCGGCGGCCGCCCCGATGGGCAGGGCTCACCCCGGGACGAACCCGCGGGGGCAGCGAAGCCTACGTGCGGCTGCCGGCCCGCGGCAGGGCGCGGCGGAGCGGGGCGGAGCGGGGGCCGCAGCCCCGCCGAGCCGGAGCTCCCCTCAGCGCGCCGCCGCCCGCCCCTCGGCGGGGCTCCGGCCCGCGCTCCGGGCCGGCGGGTTCGCGCTCCGCCGAGTGGGGGGGGGGGGGGGGGGGACGGGACTTACCTCAGCGGCGGCGCAGGCCGAGGCCGAGGCGTGAGGCGCCGCACGTCCCGCCCCGGGTTTGCGGCGGGGCCGACCCTCGCTTCGCTCCGCCCCGGCCTCGCCTCGCCCTGATAACAGCTCGCGCAGCTCCCGCCCCGTACCGCCGTTAGATTAAATTACGCCCAGGTAAGGGTGGGAAGGCTGGGTTTTTTCCAGGGTCATCCCGCCGAGGACCACCCTCAGGCAGGCGCAGTTTGCGCGTTCACCGACGGAACTCCCGCGCCAAAGCACCTCACAGTTTCCACCGTTTTTATGAGAAAAGCTGGGTTTTGCTTGTAGAAACATGACAGCAACTGCTTTCATCCAAACCTCTTCCTCTCCTCCCTCTCCCAACAGCTTCAGATTTCTCTCGTCCTTTTCCGTCTAAGATGTTACATTTTTTTCCTTTGAATTCTGTAAATTACTGGCTAAAATGATGAAGGGGTCCCTAAAACTTGTACCCTACTATGGGAAAGGCTGAAAGGCAAGAGAAGTGCTCTTTTATGTCCAGCACCTGCTCCCCAGGGAGCAGCTCCGGCCTCGACACGGCCGTTCCGAGGTTTGCCCCTAGGGGCTTGCAGCCTTTCCTTCATTACACTGTTTTGTGGCACTTCTTAATTACTTGCATCATAACAGTATGTACCCTGTCTCCAGCTGCAAAGGTGAAGGGAGCCTTTTGTGGGGGGAAGCATCAGAGATAGCAGCACCAATGAAACTGAGTGCTTTTGCTTGCTGGAGCTCCATAAAGGCCTGTACACTTGAAAAAACACCACAGAATAAATTCAGAAAACAAGATAAAACATGATCTTATTTAACACTGTAACTATCCTGATTGTCAAAATCAGATAATTCTATCTCGACTAGGGAAATCACTGAGATGGTGGGTTGGTTTGGGTGACTCAGACGAACGAGGGATTGTCTCTGCCCTACATTATTCAGTATTATGACTGGGGTTGTTTTGTTTTTTGTAAATCAAGGTCTTAGGAGGGATTGTACATATTCCTTATTAGGCAGTGTATTTTTGTTAAGGTAATATTAAAAAAGAAAAAAAAAAAAAAAAGGCAAGTTGCAGTTGGACTATCACCACAGCATTATTCCACCGATTACAAAGTTCAAGACAGCAAAGTATTAGTCTAACATTAACGGAAAACCTGCTTCTGTGTTTATGCGCCAGAGCTTGAGGAGCACATCAACTAAAATGCTTGCATTTCCACATTACATCATTGCACGCATTAGATATGCTCCTCATAACTTTAAATTAACCCAGGGCAGGGCATGGTAACGTGAGGTTTCAAAAGTACAAGTCTTTCAATAATAACAGAAGTCATGACAGCACAGGTTATACAAAATGTGTACAGCACAACATTAGGCTGGATTGTTTAAGTTCCTCTGGCATGTATAGATTGTATACCCCAAGAACCAAAGTTGTTGTGATGTTTCTTAAGCAATCACAGATTCTGTATTCTCAAAGGCCTGAAACCATGGACAGCCCAGTTTGGCTGGTGCTAGTTAACCTGGTTAAATACTGCATCTTTGCCCTAAGAAAATGGCCACATCAGCTTTCAAAATTGTTTGTAGTGGCCTTCGACAAATATATTTATGCAAATGTGTGCATACACACATACACATGAGCGTGTATTTTCTAAAAAGCATTACAAAAAGACTAAAGTGACATCTAAAATTTACTTGAGAACCATGGCGTTGGGTGTAGGTACTTGGCCATGTTCTAGGATCATCTGTGCCTGATAAAATACTTCTGCATAAAGTGTTTTTTCTATTATGGTAACTTCCTCATGCAGCAGTATCCTTAATGCAGCGAGAGCAACTCTAGGTGGACACCAGAAGTATGAAATGTTCTGCAAAGATATTGATTTCACCAAAACCAATTAACAGATAAGAATCCTGTCTCAGAGAAGCCCAGAGCTCTGTCAAGGGCAAGCACACCGAACTCCGCAGCCCCCAGCACATTACCTCCCAGCTGCCGACTCTGTCGCACTCAGCTGAGGTGCTGACATTTAGTGAGAAGTCTGTCTTGTCTGCCTTCCAGGAACTTGTCCCCTCTGCCCTTGACCCACGTAACCCACATTCCCTGGCAGGAGGCCCCCAGCTCCGCTCCCCCTCCTAAGAAGGACAGGGAAAGCAGCAGGTGAGGAACGTGTATCCGCAGGCGCTGCTGTTCTCCTCTTAATGCTGCATGAACCCGTCGGTGTTAAAACAGGTTAGTACCATCCAGTCTTCCACTCCAGTCGTATTGTCCTTCAGCATTTTTACAAAGTACTCTGCACCTGAGCACCATCAGCTAGAAGCTATATTATATATATATAAAAAATATAATAGCTAGAAACATCAGCGGTTTGACCATAAAACCTAATTGTACCAAATACAAGCAAAATTTTTTTGTTTGGTTGGTTTTTTTAAATCCCAAGTAAACAGTCTGTATTCTAACACACAACAGGTCTGTACCAATTAAATACAGTATGGCAGTATATAAATTACAGTTCTTTACAGTAAATAGTAAAATACAAGAGTCCGCTTACTGTACACAACAATCAAAGAAAGAACAGCAGCTTTTCAGTAAGGTCCCAGGTATCTCAATCATTCACTTGCTAAGAAACAAAGAAGAACAGATACAGCAGGCCATTCACTTCACTCATTTTTTTTTTTTTTTTTACCGTGTTACTTTACAAGTATCCAGAATGCTTGTACAGGCATCTACAGTATCTACAGGTGGAACAACCTCTTAGGAATTCATGAGCACCAGACACAAATCCCTCCATCATTCCCAATATTAAAATAAACTTTACAGATTAAAATTACTTTAGCAGGTTCTATTTCATCTTGATAATAACCAGCAAGTAACAAGTGCAAAGTTTGCAGTCATGATCCATTTACCGCTTCTTTGTTTCCCCATCTCCCCCTCACCCCCAAAACCCCAGCCCCCGCCCCCCAACGTTGTCCGCTCACACCCTTGCAGTAATACTGTTTCTGCAGTCAAACTGCCCGCCTGGCTTATGCTAACCTATGGAATGCCAGACATACAGCTTCAGGCATTGTTAGTCATTTCAATCCAATGCCAAGTCAGCACAGTGGCAGGCCTCTAGGAAGACAAAAAATACGAAGCAGTTGGATATTTCAGTGTGCTTAAACACAGAACGTAAGGCTGCACGGTGCCCAGTGACTAAAAGAAACATGGCACCAAGTTATCAGTTAAAACATTTACAATAGAAAGATATAAACAGCAAATGTGTCAGTCTAAAACAAGTTCTTTGGTAATTAAGAACAGCAAACCGTAGCTTTTTTTTTCCCCCCAAATACGGATTTACATCCTGTTTTTTCCACAATAAAATATTTTTTGTTGTTTAAAATATATCTCCCAAGTTGTTGCGTAACAAATAGTCCAGTACCTCAGTTATCTACAGATCAGCTTTAACTGTATTTTAGTGTGCAGCCGTATCTGCCCACTGGCAGATAAACTATAGATACACATTCATATATATATATATAATATATATATTATTTATAAAAAATTAGAGAAGTCAAGGACTCTAGAGAATACACATTCCGTATGGACAGATTAAAATGTACAATAGCTTCAAAAATCCATGAAGTTTTCTACACAGTGATGCGTGTAGTAAGTGCAAAAATACTGCAGTTTAGTTAATCCAAGATTTCCTGTTTTCCTGTTTCCTAGAAAACGCAGAAGCCGCTGCATCTCCCGAATGGCAGAGGACTTCTCCTCCTGTTTTAGGAGTGGATGATGAGCCTTGAAGCACGGAATTTTTCCGTTTCTCTGAAGCGGAAGATGCCTGAGACCGTGAAGTGCTACTCCCTTTCCTTGCAGAAGCTGGTGCTTTGCTGAGGCGCCCAGGACGAACAAAGACCCCATGTCGTGGTTTGCAGTGGAAGTACTCTCTGCCTTTTACAGTTCCATCATGCTTCCCTTCAATGAAAATAAACGCACAGAATTAGTTGTTGGTGCTTTCATTAGCACATACAGCTGTAGCACTGAAGTGGTTATCTGTCAAACAGTCAAGATTTATAACGCTGAGTGATGAAGCCAGATGCACACCATACGCTAGGGAGAACAAGGCCTGGAAAGGATGGCTTGAATTGTGACCAAAAAGATGATTTCCTAAAATATTACTTTGTTAACTAACTAGCAGTTTAAAAAGTGAAACATTTATTCATTTTACAAAACGAATTAGTTGCAAAGCTTAAACTTTAGCTGCCAGGGAAACTTCTAGTATCAGTGTTGCTATCTATTAAAGCTACTAAAACCATCCTATTTTTAAAAGATCAGAAGCATTTCTGTAGGACTCTCAAACACTTGCAGGGTATTAGCTTTAATTCGATGGAGTCAGAAAAAGTCAAAGAAAACCTGTGCTCTGTAATTAAGCTTTCCCCAGTGGAGGAAGAAAAAAAAAATCTCTGAAAGCTACAGACAGCAAACCTATTTGACAAACGATGTCCACTGTTGGTACTGCCCACAAACACGCATGCTGATTTCTAAAAAAAAAAATGCCAATTTTAGGCTTTGCTTGTTTTTCTGATCTATAAAAATAGATGGGTACCAATAGGACCTTCCACAACATGCAAAAGCATTATTCTGCATCAAGCAAGAAGAACAGGGCTTTAAGACTGTTAATTTAAAAACTAACCCTCTGCAAATTATTCCTATACACAGAAAGCCTAGAACTGGGTGTACCAGACTCCAAGCCTATACAACATTAGAGGTATTTCCCAGTACTGAACAGCATGTGATTGTAGTTTAATTTTAAAAACAGACCACACCAACTGCACAGATAACCCAGACCATATTTAGTCTTACCCAGCTGAACATTTAGTTCAACTCCAACCCAGATTCCAGCAGAAAATTCCACCGTTCCAATGTATCTCACCGTGCCCATCTTACTACTTCCAACACAGACTTGTTCACCCACTGCCACCCAGCTAGGCAAGACGTGGGCTTGATCTGCAGAAGCACCTTCTTCACCATCGGAACCGTCCAAGTGGTCCTTCCCAATACAATCATCTGTGGAAGTATCAGGGTCAGTCTCACGGCCTGAAGTCTCTTTTACCAGTACAGAACACAAAGGCCTTTCCCCAGCGCCCGCAAGCTGGTCGCCTGCTGCTGCTGGTGTCGAGCCCAG